AGTGATTTCCCTTAAATTACTTTCACAGGTGAATATTGTTTGTTTTCTTTCTTTTTTATCATGTGTATGACACTGGGTCTATACAAATGTCTGACACTTGTGTATAGGTTCTGAGGAGGACAGAAGAGAGCATCAGGTCCCCAGGAGCTAGAATTTCAGGCAGCTGTGAGCCACTTGGTATGGATACTGGGGAGGGAACTAGGCCTCCTGGAAGGACGAGGACCCTTATCTGCTGAGCCATCCCTCAGGCCCCAGGAAAGGTCTTTAGTCAGAACAAGTTCTTGCTTCCTGAGTTAAATCTTTAGCTGTTTATTCCCTGAGTGAGTCAGGCTCTGTGTGGGGCTGAAGCCTGTTCTCCTTGGGAGGGGATGGTCCTCTCCTGTTTCCAGGATCCCTAACTGCATACAAACCCAGGGTCATCTCAAAATGCCCCCCACACACAGTTCTTCACCCATACTCTCAGCCAGGTCCAGTTGGGAGGATCTTCAGGCTCAGAAGGCTGGGAGGGAACTCTGCAGTGTTTGGCCTGGAAGGGTTCCTGGGTGGAGCTGCCTGGTTCAGGAGGAGGGACATTCAACAGTCATCCTGACACCATAGCCCAGGAGTTAGTTACTGCTTCTGTCTCCAACATCCAGACAAGCACCATGAAGAGGCTGCTGTGCTCTCTGCTGGGGCTGCTGTGCTCCCAGCTTTGCTGTGAGTCTGACTGTCCACACTCAGGGACAGAGAGGATTGTGCTCAGGACATGGAGGGTGGGGAAACAGCTCAGGAGTCCTGCAGAGCTCCCTCCTTCTCAGAGGACGTGGGGTGTTCAGGGTTCTGTGGATGCTCAGTGACCTCATCTGTGTCTCTTTCTCTGTTTCTGATCAGGGGTGAAAGGGCAGCAAGTGGAGCAGAGTCCTTTGTCCTTGGTTCTGCAGGAGGGAGAGAGTGCAGAGCTGCAGTGCAACTTTTCCACCACTGCAACGGACATCTCATCAGCCTGTTCTCCAATTCTTCTGGAACAAAGCATCAACGACAGTAGCTAAAGAATATCGCAGCTCTTTGTACATTTCCTCCTGTCAGACCCCAGACTCAGGCACTTATTTCTGTGCTATGGATGCACAGTGCTCCCTACACATCTGAAGCCAGTACACAAACCTTCAAATGGGTGGATGTGGCCCAACCAGTCACAAGACATCAGGAGACCACAATATAACATCTGCCTGACGTAGTATCCCTTTCCTGTATTGTAGATTTATAACCTCAGTTAGGGTTTTGAGGCTCAAAGTTTCAGGTCTTTGGTTTTATCTTCATTTCTCAATATATGTACTCTGTTCTGAAGCATAAACATCCATCTTAGAACTAACAGAGAAGAGGATGGGGGACAGAATCAATGTGATCATTTAAGCTGCAGTGTGTAGATCTCATAAAGCATAAAGAGAAAAGAGAGGGAAAGGCAAAGGCAGGCGTCCAGGTCACCCTGCTATGGACAGGGTCAGGGTTGGTGAGGAAAAAACAAACTGCAGCACCAGCAGGAGCATCATCATGGAGGACACAGATCTGCAAAGTCCTGGTTTCCTCTCTGTGCTGTGATAAGTCTCTGAGAAAAAGCTACTTATAACATGTATGGATTATTTTAACGTTCACTTCCAGGTCATAGTCCATCATTGTTAATCAGAACAGGACCTCAAACAGGAGATCATACCAACAACCCTGGAGCAACTCTGTTGCCAGCTCACTCATAGGCTCACACTTAACTAGCTTCCTTATGTGACCCAGGACTCTTTGCCACAGGATATTGCCACACTGTAGGATTGTCTTCATTTCATCAGTTGAAAAGAAATGCTGCTTGTTTTATTGCTATTATTGAATTTATAGGATTTTTAACTCATAATTTTCAATTACATTTTCACTTATTAATTTTATTCGTTATTGTCTGAAGTTTTCTAGGCAGAGGTATGAACATCTTTAAAACAATGAGACAAAGCAACTTCTCACACATGCAACTTTTCAACTAACTTTAAATAGAAAATCTAAAGTTTTACAACTCAATAAATAGAATGAATTACCCTAAAACGAACCAAATGAGCTGACCCTGTGCAAAGGAGTGTGTGTGTGGTAATAAGTAATTAGAATGTAGTTTGGGGTTGTGCTGGTCTAGTAAAGTGGTGATTATAGTTTCTCCTCCAAGATCTATAATTCCATTTCCCCCCCTCTAGTCTGTCACTAAGGAATTCAAGGTAGGAACTCAAGACAGGAATCTAGATGCAGGGATTAAGACACGGACCATAGAAAATTTCTACATGTTGCTTCCATTCACTGGTCCACTCAGCTTGCATTCTTATACACCCCAGGACCACTTGTTCAAGGGAGTCACCACCTACAGTGGACTGTGCTGGCTTTCATAAATCACTCATCAAGAAAATGTTCCAGATGTATGCCTGCAGGCTAGTATGGTTGAGAAGATGAGGTTTTTTCTTCCCAAGTGACCATAGTCATGAAAAGTTGATAAATATAAACATCACAGTTGGACACTTGTCAGTTTCACATATACCCACATCACTATTAAACCTTTCCTATGTTGTTGATTTTTAGGAACTCATATTAATATCACAATATAAAACATTGGAATACTTTAAAATTAGCACTATTTTAAAAATTCATACTTTAAAAGTTCCAAGTCCTTTAAATTATCAAATTTTTCTTTTTCTTTTTTTTTTTTTTTTTTTTTTTTTGGTTTTTCGAGACAGGGTTTCTCTGTGGCTTTGGAGGCTGTCCTGGAACTCACTCTGTAGACCAGGCTGGCCTCGAACTCACAGAGATCCGCCTGCCTCTGCCTCCCGAGTGCTGGGATTAAAGGTGTGCGCCACCAAGGCCTGGCTATCAAAATTTTCTTAATGATGGATTCTCATACAATTAAAACAAGTTGAAAAAATCTTTTTTATTACGGACGGGAAGAGTCAGGAAAGAGTTACATCAGATCAAAGATAAACTGAATCCATTTGATTTTCTAAACTCCAATGAAATGGAGAATACACAATTCACAAAATTAAAAACAAGCAAACAAGGAAACAAAATCTTGGTGAGGAGGCTGTACTGTGGCCAATGAAGTCACACAGTGTACCCTTCAGTCTGTACATCTTTTCTTGCAAGTCTTCCATAGCTCTGGCTTCTCTACACTGTAGATAATGGACTTTCACTTACATACTTCTTGGATATCCTATAGATGCCTTGTATCAAGGAGATTCTACAGCTTTGGATCTGCAGATCAGGGCACTTCACATGGTCCAGCAGTTCATACATGAAGACGATGTTAGAGTGGGATAACTCATAGCACTGGTTCTGTATCTAGGTGGAGGCTGTGGTTGTCCCACAACTATTCCTCATCTAACCACTCAGGAAAGCTCTCCAGCAATGCTGCAGCTAGTTCACCCAATGCAGCAGGTAGAATGGAGAGAGGTCAGTTATCCTGCTCTCATGCCCTTGCATCTGACTTACACACACTTGGACCACAAGGAACAGCTCTACTCTTTTCTCCAGGTAAGCTAACTGGCCCCTTATGCCTATTGCTGCAGTTGGAAAGAACCTGACCCAGATCTGCTCCAATGCTCCAGAGACCAACTCTCCCACCAGCCGAGGTGATATACTCTCGGTTGGGGCAGGAATTTTTTCAACACAAGTTAGAAGAAGGAGGATGGACTCAGTTCTTATGCTCTCACAACCTCAGGCTACTTCACCTGCACTGCCACTAACAAGGTCATCTCTACTGTGCGCCTAAGTCCAGATGCTGGACTCACTCTCTCAAGTGCTGCAGTTAAGGTGGGACAGGTCTAGTTCTCACCAGTGGTGTAGACTGTGAAGGGTAGGGTTAACTCTGTGTTAACATATTTGTTTCAGTGGTAACAGGAGCCACTGACATTAATGTAACTGAGGCTATGGCAGGGCCAGAGATCTAGACGTGACCTTCGTAAGTAGCTTAGTCATGCTGGACACCAGGATTCCTTGTGACAGCAATGGCCACTCAGAACTGTATAGCCCCAGCAGAAGCATACTCCTTGGACATGAACATGACCCAAAATGATGGCCCAGACACATACCTACATCTGTGTGGTCCTTGGTGACAACACAGACCCTAAACATGACCACAGATCCTGGCTGTCTTTGCAACATGGACCCAGATATGGTAGTAGGCTGGTCAGGCCTGGATGTCACCATGGTCATGGCTGCTAGTTCAGGTGACTCAGATATGTATGGACCTGACAACAACATTTCCCTAGGTAGTGGGCAGGATTCCAGGCATCTACAATGTCATTAATGGCAACAGGAGCCTGAGTCAGAAATGCAGTCCTTGACTGCAGCTCTTGGTCCTCAGCAAAAGTCTCTTCCCTGATGTCATCATGGTCCTAGGTGCAGCACTTTCTTCTAAAACACACATGCCCTCATTGTAGGTATGTCTCTTTGACAACAACATGGTCACATGTATGACACTGACTGCAGATTGCTGCAAGGACCTCACTAGTAAAAGGAGACAATTATATCAACAGGGATACATACTCACAGCTGTGTCAGGGCCGTGTACAAGATAGTATCGTTGGTATCAGCCCACCCTGGGACATCATCATGGTTCCAGGTGGCAAGCAGGGAATAGATTTATTTCATAATCCCTTAGTAAATGTTTTTATTTCCTGAGAGGCTTTAGAGCCATATTCATGTGTTTTTCATTAATTTGTTGCACATGATCATTTCATGAAATGTGTATACAGATGCTATATTATAGGGATAGAAAAATAATGACTACAAGAAAACAGTATGGAAACTTTTTCCATCATGCAATGAATATCCAGTGAGTTGTCCACACCATTCACATCCAAAACCTTGTGTAGCCCTGGCTAGCTGGGAACTCAGTGTGTAACCCAAGCTGGGCACACAAGAGATTTGAGGTTACAGGAGATTTGGGGGCAGAGAGAAAGAGAGAGAGAGAGAGAGAGAGAGAGAGAGAGAGAGAGAGTGGAAGAGAGAGGGGGGAGTGGGAGTGGGAGAGAGAGAGAGAACATTTGAACAAATAGTCTAGTTCTAAGAGAGGAATGTTGGAAATCAATTTATATTCCTAAAAACACAGTCAGTTTACTAAATGACTTAAAGGGAACAGTCAATATAAACAGTGAGTAGACTTGTAAAAACAATAATAACAACAAAATTAAGAACAAATAAATATAAAAATTCAAACCTTAACAAAGATAACTAAACAACCAAAGCAAACAAAAACCAAACTAAATAAATTAAGCTAAGCAGCATTCTCTTGCTAAAGATGTAGCATCACAGACTTACAGCCTGTGATGGCCTTGGAATCATGGTTGGAAGGCAGTCACCAGATGGAAAAAGCCTTTCAAAAGCTATTATAGCCATGTCTACCCTCCTTGTTGCTGTACCCTCATAGTCTGTTGAAGATCAGGGTTCTCACTAATTCTTGTCCCAGGTCTTCTGCATCTCAAGCTCCTTTTTGATGTTTTCTTTTACTTGGAAGTACTGAGTCAACAGACCAATGGGCCTTACTGGGGATGGGACATATGGAGGTCAGCTGTTATTTGCCTCACTGTGACTTCACTGGAGTCCTATATCTGAGGTTGTAGAATGTCATGGTCTTAAGGTATGTGTGGCTTTTTTGGCCTCTTCAATTCTTTCAAGATCTGCTGTATGAGAAGGAAATGCAAACAGACATACAAATAGCTTGGCCAAAGACTAGAAAGAAGCCGAGTTCAAAAGCTCCTAGTCCTCCTCACCCAGCAATGCTATGTTTGCTGGTGATGGGAGGAAATGATGGCTCACTTGCCTGTGAGACTCAGGGCTCCTACTGCAGCAGCTCTGTCTGCAAGAGGCTCTTATCCTTGGCTGGGGCTGGTTCAAATTGAGACTGGAGAGTTTTTGACCTACAGGAGGAAGGCAATTAGGGAACAGGTCTGGTGGGGACCTGCTATGTCAGCTATTCAGGCTGAATCAGCTCTGTTCATCTGGACATCCAGCATGAGATTTCAGCTGAGGGCATTTCCTGCCTTCCCCAAGGGAGAAGGGTCACAGTGGATCAGGGCCTGGAGCTTTTTCAGCTTCTAAAATCTGCTTGAAGATGAACTGACAACTACACAGTGCTGTGCAAGAAAATACAGTCCATTTCTCCAGTTGTCTAGGAGCATTATATTGGAATGAAAATAACAGTTTAGGAGTATCTTAGTATCACTCAAAGACAGATATGCATGGCCTTATTTAGAGACCAGGTGAATGTGAGCATCCAGGGAAACTGAAGGTTGACCCACTAGGGAGCCTATAAAATAAAAGCTTTGAAGGTTATAATTATTTCTACAGTATAGAAATGTACCTGAGTTCAACTCACAACCCCTAAATATTCTTATAACCAGAAAAGTCTTTTAACAGGAAAGGGATTCACACTGCAGTGAGCCTGTAATCAGCAGGAGTGAGCTGCATGCAGATATGCCCAAAGGCAGGAACTTCTCTCTAAGGTGATGTTCTGGGAGGAAACTAAAGTGGCAGGGGCACACACTGGCCTCCACAACTAAACCTCCTCCTGCTAGATGTAGGACACCATAGGGAGATTTGTGGAGAGACACAGGGTACACAGTGCTGAGAAAAGAGCAGAGACCTCAGAAGAGAATAGGGGAGACAATCATATTAACTGGGCCAGCACAATATCCTGAGGTGTTCTTTTCCTCTCTGGGGTTGAGAGCCATCCAGATGCCCAGAATCTCAAAGGACAGAGATTCAGGTACTAGTGACCTACATGATTTTATGGGCTCTCCTGCCTTGGGCTCTCACCTCATCTCTAAGACACTGAAGAGATGCTCCAACTTTTCTGCCAAAGTCCTTTTCTGGGTGATCAGTATCTTCTGTATCAGCAGGTTCTTCAGCGTTTCATCCAGGGTTTCATCTTCCTGCTCATTAGAAGATTGTCTTCTCAGTAGAGGGTTCCTCACCCACATGAATACACATGAACTCATGAGCACACACAAGTACATGCATGCGTACATACATGCACAATGTAATAGAGTAAATATTTAGTTTACCAGTTAATCCTGAACTAATACTTGAAAAGAAGGTAAACTATTGCTGGATGTGAGGACACAGTGGGCATGAGAAATAGATACGTCAGTTATGTCAGTGTCTGTCCTGTAAACCTAATGCACAGACAAGTGGAACTATGGGGTCCTGACCTGTTAGCTAACCCTGCTTAGGAAGTTCCCCAGGCTGTGCAGTATAGGAATATTCCCCCTTCAAAAGAGCACTGGATGGTGGTGGACCAGACTCCTGGTCTTCTTCACTGCTTCCCAGTGGCCCCAAGGAGAGCGACTTCCTCCAAAATGAACTCCTTTGAGCACAGACAGCCTCACTTCAGGCCCAAAAGAAATGAGCTCAGGAAACTAGAATATCTGCACACCAGGATTCAAAAGAAACAATTCCTGCCTGTAATGTGATTGTGTCAGGGATTTGTTTGAGTTACAAAAGACTGACTATGTCAGGAGAACAGGATTTCATGCTGAGCAAGATTCCATGGAAGGACTCAACCCCATTGTGCTTTCTCACTCCTTGATGATAGACATACGGATAGATTCTACTTTGAGGCTACTCTGAGGAATGTGGTTACAACCCTGATGTCCCCTAGCTTCTCTTGGGACACCTGCTTCATGTTGTAGAATCACTTGGTCCCCTGGGGACTGCAGATTACTTTCTGGTAAACTGTTTGTGACTTCTCACACCACCAGCAGCAATCTCTGAGGTTCATTCTCCCAACCCTGCATGGAGCTGATTTTAATTCACAGTGAACAAATGTGCAGAAAATCAGTTTTGAGTGCTGCAGGCACAGCATATGGTGAGTGTTTTAGACCATCATGAGCCTCAGTGGGGTACACTGAGACTCCATTCTCACCCCACAGCATGGCTATGGGACTTCTGCTGAACTGAGATGCAGCTGGAAGTACACTGCAAGTCATAGTCTGTCAATGAATGAAATCTAATCCAAGCTCCAAGGCCAAGGTTAACTGAGCCAAGGTTAGGCAAAGGTGGAAAGAAAATGATATCAGGCAATGCAGATGAGGAGAAAACAGGGTACAGAGAAGACAGAGTGAGCCCTCTCACCATTGAGTGTGCAGTCACCATTCACCCAGAGCAGAGAAGGGGCACAAACACTCAACAAGCCTATCTATCTCTCAGACACATTGTTGTGCCAAAGTGGCCTCCTCCTCTCCTTCCTATACCACATTCCTTTGGTTTTCTCCAAAGCCTTTTCTTGCAGATAAATATTTCCCCCTGTACAATAACAGAAAACTCCTGTGTTACCATAGATTTTGTGTCCTTTGGTTCTAGAGAGCTGAATGGACATAAGGAAAGATGGGCAGCTCTGAACATTATTTGATGATGCAAAGTGAGCAGGCACAGTGTTTTCTCAATAAAGCTGGATTTTATATCATTAAAAGATATTTCCTGAGTAAGTGAAAATACAAATATCCACAACTGCAAACACACAGATCAACACATCAATGCACACAAACACATACTTGTACATATAAGGACCCATACTCACAAACACCCACACAAGAACTTTTTCCTACACAGGCAGGAATCATGGACAACACAACATTCTGTCACTCAAGGGCACAGATACCGACATAAAGGGACACACACACACACACACACACACACTATTAACACAGAAGGCCATAGAGAATATTTCAGAATATTTTCTGCTGAAGATGTAGTTAGTGGGTGCTTCCTGATGTCTAAAAGGCTCTTACACTCAGTTAGACTCTGCTACCATGGTCTGCCCTTACTTTTCCTTCCATGAAGTTTACTTATATTGAGACTCACTGATCCCACAGTTTCCAAGTTGGTACATCATAGTCTCTTCACAAAACCTAATGGCTTCTCCACAGAAGTCCTTGATAGCTCAAGTGAAAGAAAGTAACCCATGGTCAATACCCAGGAATTGTTCAATAGAGTACAGTGCATATAATATGAATTCAATGTCAGTCACAAGGAGACTAGAGATATCAACAGCATGAATGCAGCACTATGGACAAGTATGAAAGAGAATCTGTCCTAAAACACAACCATGCTCACGAAAGAGTCAGTAACACAATGTCAGCAAGGAGATGCACTGTGGGATTCCATGTTGTGATGCCAATGAGACAAATCAGACATTTCCTCTGTTGTTATGTGTGCAGTGAATGGAAGGAAGGCCACTTTTCATTTTTAAAACATATGCATTGTGGGGACACCAGACCTTGAGCAGAAACCCACTTCCCTTTTGGCCTGGGAGCAGGCAGCTGTGAGATAATGCTTACTGAAAACAATTCAGTGCGGTAAAGCTCTTGACAGGGCTCAGATAAGGGCTCCCTCACTGAAACACCATGACTTTGACACCCCCTACGGCTAGATGCTTCTTCCTGTTCCCCTGCTGTGTCTCCCCGATTCTGGGGCCTGAGATTAAACCACCAACCAGGAGGGTGAGAAGTCTGGAAAGAATTGTATGTAGATGGATGGCAGAAGTCCTTAAAAAGGGGAAACGTTTTTTCTTGGAGACACTTCTCTCTCCTAAGCGGACTTGGAGTCTCCTCCTAAGCTGACTTGGGAAGCATAAAGTTTTTCTTAAAGCAACCGACCGGTGTCTGTGTCATCTATCCCGACCACCTCGCTACATTCTCAGATGCAGGCCGCACAGCAGGTGCGACAATGCATGGTTTTATATTTGTTATTTATTTTAAAAATACTTTTATTGCATAACAACAAGTGAGTGTAAAATGAAGAGAGAGCCGGGCAGTGGTGTCGCACGCCTTTAATCCCAGCACTCGGGAGGCAGAGGCAGGCAGATCTCTGTGAGTTTGAAGCCGGGCTGGACCGATAGCCTCCAAAACAGAGAAACCCTGTCTCGTAAAAACCAAAAAAAAAAAAATTGAAGAGAGAGCTTCTACACACATCTTTGTTCTGAACTGTTGAAACTTGTAACAGTTATAAGAGACAAAACAAGACAGATGATCCCCCTTGGAGGGCACAGTTGATCCAAAGTGTGCTGTCCAACAAGATTAAGCAAAACAGAAAATTTCAGGTTCCCTGAAAATTCAGGGGAATAAGGGAAAGAGCAACTGAGCACAGCACCAGATATCATTATCTGATCTGCAGTCACACCCACCAAAGTACACATCTGCACGTGCATGCATCACACATAAACCAAAAGTGAGCAGAAAAAACTGAAGGGGACAGCATGCTGAATGAACAGATGAATTTAGATTATGTGCATCATGTGTTTCAAGCAGACTCACAACACTGCTATCCTTCCTTTGGGGAACAAAAATTCCTAGAGGAGCACACAGCTTAGTTGAAATATGTTGAGGTGATTGGACAAAATATTCTCTTGAAGACTCTTTCTGTCACCTCACCCTCAGCCTGTCCAAGTTCTCCCACATTTATGGTCAATCAGTCAGCTCCATATTGGAAACTCCAGGGTGGGAAAACTGTCCAGCACCACCCACCTAAAACAGGGCTGACAAGATGATACTCAGGTCTCTCAGTTTGAACTTAGAGTTGAGAAAAGGGAAAAGAACACACTAGGGTGCAGGAAGAAAGGAGAAAACCACACCCCTAAAATTGACAGTGAGAACCATCCACTTGGCATTGGCACTGGGTTCCAGTCCTTGCAAACTGATTCCTACCTGTGATTTTATGAGACCCCTGGAAAACAAATGAGCCACAGGCCCTGACCTCATCGATGAAAGATCTGTGCCAATCCCTAGGTAGCTCCCTGCATAGCAGCCCTCCTGATGTAATGGCAAGTAGATGTGTGATATGTGATTGACCCATCTCTCTAAATATACTGTGGATTTTAGCAGAGCAGGAAAGTTTGCTTGACAATCATTCAATCACTTACATGAGGATATAACTCTATAGACAAACTTGTGCTTACCGAAATGAACAATTGGATGGCATTAGGTGGAACAAATTATGTGGGTGCATGGTTACATGGTTGTTTCTATGTTCATAGTGGGCCATGTGGGCTGTGTGCCCCTACTGCTTCAGTCAACCTGATGCTGCTAGCACAGGGAACACAGATCTTCTCCTGGACCTCCTTAAAGAGCTTCTTCACCTCCTCACAGGTCTCTCGAAGTGCAGTCTGCTCCTCCCACAGCTGTCTCTTCTCCATTCTCAACACTTGGATGTTGTTTTTCACCTGAGTCAAATCTTGTAGGATCAGGCTGTGGAGGTAACTGAACAAACATCCAAAAATGGTAAGACCGAGTCAGCCTTCATTTGCCATCTATGCCTCCAAATACAGCCCCACTGCAAAGCCACAGTCCCCAGAAAGACCAAGACTGGAACTCACAACACCCAAGTCAGCATCACTCAGAGGCAGGCCACATCCAGAGAATAAGCAAATTCCAGAAATTTTCAAACTCCTTTTCAAAATCCCGGCAACAAAAGCTCTACTGTGCTCCCAGAGAAGAGGATGAAGCCCATGCCTGTGCTTACCTGTTCATGGTATTGGGAAAGCATCAACAGAAGAGGGCAAACACTGTCTGGGGGAGGGCAAAAGTCCCAACCAGAGTAAATTCTGTCTACAGGTCCCATGGATACCATCTCTGTGAAGCTGCACCAGAGCTGAGTGTCCCCCAAAGACTTGTCTGGATGTTGCAGGTACTGGCAGGCATCCGGAAGCGCGTTAAGAAGGCAACATAGAACAGTGACCAGTCCTGAGTGATTTCTTTGATTAGCTTGGATGCCACGCCCTATTCTGAACACCTGACCTACAGCATTAATCTGTGTGACATCTCTGTTAGGTAGTTACTGTCACTCGTCCAGGTTACATGTCATCTCTGGAATCCAGCAGAGAAGTCAAATGACTTGCCCATGATAACAAGGAGGTGGAGAAGCAGGCCATGGAATTCTGGCGTGCTCAGTCCTTGTTTGTTACAGGCACTAGAGAGTACTGCTGGGAAGGTTCCCCACCTCTCTCTGGGCCAGATGTGTCTAGTTCCTGGAGCTTCCTTGAAGGTGATTGGCAGAAGTGCTGTCCTTAGGTGAGGAGGGGATGCTGACTGAACTGGTTTGGAGTGGTCAGTTTTTTGACCCTGAACTGCAACAAGAGACCGGATAGAGAAGCAACAGGAGGTCGTGTCTGACTTGTGATCTCCTTTCTCAGTCCTGAATCTCAAGTTCGCTCACCTTCGAAGAAAGGGCAACGAGCACCACTCTGACAGCTCAGGAGGCATGTTTAAGTAGCCGAAATACATACATTCAGGGATCGAGGTCGATTCTGGTGCTCAGGCAGTAAACTTACGAGGTTCAGCAGGGCAGAGACCACAGGAAAGACGGAGCGGAGCGCGCAGCGTCTGCAGAAACAACTATGGTACCTGTGCTGCCCCGAGGTCCAGCCTGCCAGCGCAGGAGCAGTGCCAGGTTGCACAGGCCTCGGGGTGGGGAGGGGCGGGACTTGGCCACACCCCCAGCTCCTTGTTTCTCTCCCGCCTATAGTGCGAGTCAGGTGGTGCGTGGGCGGGGCGGTCCCTCCAGAGGAGGTTTGCTGAAGGCCAGCTGCCCCTTTGGCTCTGCGACCGGGAGAGAGAAAGCTTGGAGGGAGGGGAGGAGGCACGCGGGGCCTGTTGCTAGGGTTGGCACGGGAAACTGGGCCAACCCTAGAATTCCTAGAGGCTGCACAGGAATTCTTCCACCCTTCCACCCTTCATACACACACAGTACTGTAGTCGGGGTGAAAGACCCCAATAGGGATACTTTCACGGAAGTGAGACCCGTACCCAAGGAACAGCGAGACCACGAACTTGGATGCAACAGCAAGAGGCTTTATTGGTGACATACGGGTAACCGGGCGTCTCAGTCTCGGGGAACTGAGCGCGCCGAGCTGGGGACTCAGGGGTTCTTTTATAGCAAAAAGCGCAGTACAGAAGCGAGAAGCCTAGTAACATGACCCTGATTGGGCAATTTAAATGAGGCTAGGGCTCAGAGCACGGGCAATTGAGGTAATTGAGGTTTTTCTTGGAACTCAAGTCTAGGCCTTGGCCCAATCTGAGGAACAATTGGTCTCTGTGTTTGCTCAATCCTGCTGAGCTGGCCATCCGGCCACCTGCAGATACCCGACAACCTGTGTCCTTGGGACTGAGCTCCCTTCTGATAGCAATGACTATTTAGCTGTGGGGAAACGGAATTTTTTATAAGCCTCAGCTGCCTGTTTAGACTGGGCCAGGGTCTTTCAGGGGAAGGGTGCATGCACAACGTTTTTTAGGCCCTGACATTCTTAGATCCCCTTAGGGTAGGGCTGTGGAGCCTTTCTATAGTTGCAGCTCTAGGAGGTGGACACCCGCTGCGTGCTGTTGCTGAGTGAGGCTCTGCCACTTTTCTTAATCCAGGAAATGATTCATTTGTTCATTCTCATACAGTTCGAATGCCTGTATGTAGCCAGTAAGCCCTTTGGCGTTTGTTCTAGGCAGTTCAGTCTCGTGCTTGGTTTTTCTAATTTATAGGATGAGCCCGAGGGCTGCTCACACATCCTAAGTGCTCCACAGATAAAACTCGAAAAAAAAAATGAGGAAACCCTGGGCAAATGCCTTCCTCAACTGAGTTTCCCATCATCTGGAAAATACAAAGCACAGAGAAACTGTCATTTGATACTGTTTTCATAACTTCCATGTTTTATACCCGAGGACGTGAAACTCTTAAAGACACTAGTTGGTCAGAAGTCACAAGCCAGAAAAACAACAACAAAAAACCCAAAGTAACAAGAGTGAACAGGAGGCCTTGACTCCCCAAAGGTGCTAACCCCAATGTGTGAGGATGTGTGATAATCTGTCACTAGTGTCTCTGATTTTGGGACATTACTCCTCTATTCCCTGGGGCTAGTTATTGAATATTTGTTATTATTTTAAATTGTGTGTGTGCTTGTGTATGGGTTGTGTGCATGTGAGCGCTGGTTCTAGTGGAGACCAGAGGTGTGAGATCTGCTGGAGCTTGTGTTTTAGTCTGTGACAAGCTGCCCTATGTGGGTGCGGGGAACTGAACTCTAGTCCTCTGCAAGAGCAGCAAGCCCTCTTAACCCCGAGCCAGCTCTCCCTGTGGTTTTCTTTGTCTTCATGATCCTGGCATCCTACCCTTTCTGGGATGCATCCCCAGAAGGTGGGACATTTTATCTCAGCAGTCAATTAGTCTTTCCCAGTGACCAACAGGAGAAGGTTGGGAGAGAAAGGCTGTTTTCTGCTAGAGTTGCTAAGTTGAGATGTTGGAGTTGGGGCTTGCCAACAAACCATGTTCCCAAGTATGTGAAGGAAGTCCTTTGGGGGGAAGGGAGCTCTTTTGAGGCAGGAAAAATAAATGGAACTACTTAGATAGAGCAAACAGACATGAGAAATTTGGAAAACTGAATCATTACAAGGTTGGTTAAAGTTGGGCTCTCAAGGGCTGGATATGGGTCTGGATCCATATTAGAGTGCTTGACTAGCATACGCAAGGCCCTGAGTTCAATCCCTGCCTGGCACATTACATTTTTTAGTGAAGCCAACAAGTTTGCTCTTTTTGCTTAAGCTGGCATAAATGAAGTCCCTCTCATCTCTAAAAAGGAGTGTGACTAATAAGTTTGGCACACGGTTTATTTTTCCCTCCGAGAATAGTGGAAGTTGGGTGCTGGCCACAACTATCACTTCTTAAGTGCTCTACTTCCCGTAATGAGTCATGCCAAGTGTGTGTGTCCCATGGATGTGCGTTAGACAGTAAGAAGCAGGTTCAATTCTTCAGTATTACTGCCATTGCAAACAGGACACACTTCAACAAGCCCAAACTATGTACACAACACTTAACCCTGGGATACTGTAATTGTCTGAAATGTGAATAAAATATAAACTGGGATTCTAGTTTTTTTCATTTATGTATTTTGTTTATTTTTGTTTCTCTCTGTAGCTCTGACTGTTCTGGAACTCACTGTAGACCAGGCTGGCCCAGCAGAACTCAGAGATTCACTTGCCTCTGTTTCCTGAGTGCTAGGATTAAAGGCAAGTGCCACCCCTACCCTGACATTTATGTATTTTTTTAAAAGGTCTTGCTAAATAGCTTAGTCTGATGCTGACCTGTAATGTATGACCTTCGGCTTCAGCCTCCCAGGTACTGGAATTACAAGCACCTGCCACCACACCTTCCTAAGGCTAAGGCCAAGTTTAATTATTTATTACATTAGTCATTCATCTTATTTTATTGACACAGCCTCTCATGTTTCTCAGGTTGACCTTGAACTAGATTCACAACCAAGGATGATGACCGGCTTCCATCTCAAATGTGCTTCAGGTGGGCACTATCTTAGTTGGTTCTCTGGTGTTGGAGATCAAACCCAGGGCTTCATGGATGGTAGGCAAGCACTTTACCAACAGAGCTCTGTCACCAGTCAAAGACAGGTTTGTGAGATGAGATTACTTGGTTTTTAGGGACACCAAAAAATAAAAATAAAAAAGAAAGAAAGATAAGAGAGAGGAAGGGAAGGAGTGAGTTTGATAGCCATTACTAGTTGGTTATATCTGAAGGATAGATAGGAGCAGGGACATTTATAATAACTAAATCTTAGATATCAAGAGTCAAAAAAGGTGTCAGTAATCCATAAAGAGCATGGGTAGATGCTCTTTTTCTCATTCTTTGATAGCAATGGCTATTCTCAGGGCCTGGGGGGCAAGGGGGGCTATGTGTACTCCTTGGAAGCACATGGGACAATCCACTAATCTGATATTGGAATGAAAGTTTAAAAGAGAAAACAAAGCTGAAATGCTGACTTTGGAGAGATGGCTCTGTGGTTTTGAGTACTTATTGCTCTTGCAAAGGACAAGGACTTGATTTCTAGTACCTACTTGGTGGTTCACAACCAACCAGAACCTCATTTCTAGAAGATCTGACATCAGTAGTTCACATTACATACATGCAGGCAAAATGGCCATACACATAAAATAAATAAATAAATAAATAAATCTGAAATTAATGAATTAATTTGAGCACCTGAGATGTCTAAAGTATAAATCCCTGTCTATTCTTGATTCCTCTTGGGTAGGAGCTTTCATCCGGTGAGAGTTGGATGATAGGTCCCTGAAAAGTTTATCTGCAGAAGGCAGGTCACCCCTGGAAGAGAGGGAGCAAGTGAGAAGAAAGGCTGGGGACAGCAGGAGAAAGGAAGGAAGGAAGGGAGGCAGAGAGAAACAGCAGATGTGGGAGTTTAATCTTGAGGCAAGGGATTTGGAAAGAGGGTTTTTGGAAGCGTTGTTGTGTGTTGTGCAATAGAACTGCTCCTTGGCTTCTTCCCATCAAAGAGTCATCGGAGAGGCTGGCCTCAATGGAGCTCACTTGTTAGAGTGTCTGCCTAATTGGCACTAAGCCCTGGGTTCTAGTTCTAGGCCTGCATGAAACAGGTGTGATGATGTCTGTAATGTCAGCATTATGGTAATTGGAGGCAGGTGCAGAATTTGAAGGCCATCCTTGGTTACATAGGGAGTTGAAAGATAACCATAACGACGCATGAGACCTTGGGTAGCAATGGGGTGGGAGTGAGGGGTGGACATGGTGGATCAGCAAATAAAAGCATTTGCCCAGCAAGTTTGACAACCTGAGGGGGGCAGTCCTGGACCCAGGGTAGACAGAGAGAACTGATTTTTGAGAATTCTCCTCTTACCTGCATACTCATGTGGTGGCAGATCAAAGAAAAACACACATCAGATTCCCAAACACGTCAATTGTTGGAACAGTGGTGACATTTTCAGTGTGATTGGGTAAGGTGGGCATAACTGGTACATCATGATTATTTTGTCAGCTCATGGGGAGTCCTTCTAGACCCAGCTTGTTTTTCCAGCGTCTGCTCTTGAAAGTGTACCTGGTTTTATTACCAGTTTTCATCTGAGTCCATTGAGGAATGGGAAAATTTGCTCTTTTGTCTTGGCTTGAATCAGTCCTTTGCCTCAGAAAATTTTGTGAGAGAAACCCTGGAATAGTTCAATGGATCCATGTGGAGAACATGAAGAACAGTGAAGCTCTCTTACCTGCAGAGCCATCTTCCGACTCCAGAAGGGATTCTATGCCAAGAGAACTGTGCTCTGTTATACCAAGACACATAGGAAGACATCAATAACTTAAAGTTACCAAGTGGTGGGTTTGCTTGTTGGAAATGGGTTAGCTGATGCTAAAATAAATGGTAATAGTCATTTTCCAGCTTTTAGTATTTGTTATAAACTAGTTGGCTAGTGAGCCTTAGAGGCTGCCTTTGGGTGGCTAGTTTTAGTCATGAGGTAAGTAGGAGCTACAGTGGGAAATAGGAGAGGTATAACACCCTACAGACATCTGTAGTGGACTGAAGTCCTCACCCCTATCCTGAAGCGCTAAAGCAGAGAATACTTCATTATTAGCTATTTCTCTTGTTCCCAGGAGGCACTGAAACAGCTCATTACACCATGAGAGAGGGAGGGTTGGGATTTGGTAAATCAACAGTTTATAAGTGAGAACATTGTGAGATTGGCCATGCTGGAGACAAGCTTTGGAAAACTTGAGTGCTCCCAGGAGGGTAATACAAATGGGTAATTGAATAGGACTTTAGTAATTCATAGGGCCTCTATGTATTAGAAGGTTTGCTAAAGCAGGAAGTGTTTCAGTGTCTAATGAATTGCAGCTTAAGAGAATCAGTGTGGTGATGGCTATCTTAGGAGGCTAAGACTCAGCTTTCTTGGAAAATGTTTGACTCTAAAAACAACAAAAAACAAACAACAGGGACTGGAGAGATGGCTCAGTGGTTAAGAGTGCATATTACTTTTCCAGAGGACCTGAGTTTAGTTCTCAACATCCACATTGGTCAACTCACAACCACCTGTAACTCCAACTCCAAGGGATCTGATGCCCTCTTCTGACCTCTTAGGGCACTACACACACACACACACACACACACACACACACACACACACACACACACACACACACACAAACACAAACATAAAATCTTTAAATAAACAATCTTAAAATAAGACCCAGTTTTCTTCATCTAAACTTTGAGTTTAAGCATAGACACTGTTATCTAAAACTTAGATTCTCCTTCAAATGTAATTTTCAAAGATTAAATAATTTTTTGGAAAAAGGTTTTTCCCTTTTGTGGCTCAGGGTAAATTTCTTCAGGTGAGGCTCCACCCCTTAAAGGTTCTCCCACCTCTTATTGTTTTCAAACTGGAACTCAGCTCTAGTATATCAGGTTTGGGAGATAAACCACTCTCTAAAAGAATACAATTACCTTAAAAATAAAACAAAGCCATCTTGACCTAGGCATCTTGTTTTATGTGGTAATATTTCACACAGCTCTGACTTATTTCCCTTGTGGGTGAGAAAAGCTGCCCTAGGCCTCATTGAGGTCTTCTCTGAGAAGATTCTTCCTTTAGGGGATATAACAGAGAAACCCTTGGTGACACTGGGAAGCACACAGAGGCACTCATTAAGTTGAAGTCAATCAGTGTTTTTGTTATGTGTTAACTTGCCTGTATCTGGGAGGTTTCAGGGTGACAGCCATCCAGATAGCCAGAAGACAGTGTGGAAAGCTTTCTGGTCTTCTATACCTCCCTAGGGACTTGATGTGCCTGGGAGCCACAGTTTAGCCACCTTCAAAATGGTCCTGTCCTGGGTCTTATCACTGTGCTTTCAAGGGCCAAGATAAACATACTTTCCATCTCTGTTTTCTGCCCTCTCAAGAAAGCAGCATGGTTGTCCAGAATGAATTTCCTGTGTCATAGAAACCACAGAAGCATAAAATGACATAACCATATGTGCATATACAGCCTGCCTGGGCTTACACATCCTCTTCTACCCAGAGTTCTTAGACCTCGTGCTTATTATTTTGTTTTCTTTTTCCTCCTTCAGTGAGTGTGGATTCTTACTGAGATCCATATGCAAAGATGAGAGGAAGTAGGCACCGACCTGAGAGTTTATGCACCGGAGTGTCTCCAGCTCTGCATACGTGTGGGAGTTTGAGTGAAAGGGCATTTGCACAGATCTACACCAGGTACTTCAGGGATACCCTTAAGCTTTGTACAGTCTCACAACCTATCAATCCTCTAGCAATGGAATGCAAAGCCTATTTCCTCCAGAAAAGCTTTAAGACAAGTAGATCAGAGAGAACTGTCATTGGCCTCAGGTGAATTTGCAAACACTCTCTTTCTTGCACTTCTTAGAGAGAAAAATGTTTAGGATAGGTGCTGGGCTGGTGGTTTTTTTATGTTTTTGTTTTTGTCCACTAAGATGTATTGTGACTTTTCTCAACTAGAGAAAAGCACTGAAAATGCTACAAATGCAAAAATAGCATATTATTCTTTCCATCTGAAACTCACAGTCTGGTTTTGAGAGGACCACAAAGGAAGCTGTGTTAGAAGTGTGTATTGAAGGGGCAGTTGTGGCTCCTATTTCGACTAAGTTTGAAATGAAGCCCAAACAACTAAGCTGATAGATGCCCTCCCTGCTTTGGGGTAGCTAAATTCTGGAGGGGATTCAAGAAGTTAAAATTGTAGATTGCCTTGACTCATGAGTAACCCACACACACACCTTTTTTCATTTTCCTGTGCATGAAGTGTGCATGTGTAAATGCACATTTGTATGTGTTTTGGTATATGTGCACAGATGAATGCACATGAATGTGTGTGGACAGGTGTATGGAGGCATGAGGTTGAGGTTGGGTTGATCAGAAATTATCCCCCACCTCTGTTGCACTTTGTTCATTGATGCAAGGTCTCACAATGAAGCCCAGAGCTAGCCAATATGGCTAGTATTGCCAGCTGTCTTGTGATTGGAAATCTCCTGTAGCTTACTCCAGAGGATGGAATTATGGGCAGGCCACCAATTCCACCTGGCATTCACATGGGTACTGAGGATCCAAACTCTAGCTTGCATGCTTGCTGAGCCTGTTTTTAACCCCTGGACCATCTCCCCAGCCCATGAGAACCTTTTTGATAAACTAACCAGACCCTTGATATCTGATTATTTAGTGGGTATCTACTATATGCTAAACACTGTCCTAGAAGCTGAGGACACAACACAAATAAAATCCTTGTGCTCATTGAAGTTGTAGCCAAACAGATGGAGACAGATTATCAGGAGGTAATGAGTACAAAGCCCAGAGACTACCAATGGAGTGGTGGTAGGTGCATTTTCAGATATGTTGGAAGGAAAATGTCTAGTGCGTTTGAACAGAGATGTAGTTAAATGCTAGATGTCTACAGGAAGATCATTCCAGCCCTAAACAAGCAGTCTCAGATAGGCCGAGGGGGCTGGTTTAAGAAACAGCAATGGTGTCATTGGGTAGGCCAGAACTGCTTGGGGCCAAGATCACATGGTCTTGTAATGAGTGGTTGGAGGAGCCCTTGGAGGTTTTGAGCAGAAGGATCTTTATATTTTCTGAGGTGTCACATAGACTACAGAGAGGCAACGGAGACAGGAGGAGGCAGGATCTAATTACAGATGAGCAGGTAGGAGAGGTGGTGGCTGGTTCGGGGAAGCTGTACTGGAAATAGGACATTAGGCAGATAGTGCCAATAGATTTCTTAAAAAATGTTTTACAGAGTTTGAGATAGGAAGGAAGGAAGAAAGGAAGGAAGGAAGGAAGGAAGGAAGGGAAAGGAAAGAGAGAGGGGGAGGAAGAAGACAGGAAGGAAGAAAATGAGTTAAGGATATTTCTAAGGATGAGTGCTTGTTCCCAAAGAACTTGAAGAATGTTGTCATTTACTGAGGTGGGAGGAAGCAGATTTGTCAATGGCCATCAGAAGTTTGTTTTTGCATTTGGAACCCCAGAGGTTTAATGCTGGGATGCCAAGCAGATTATTGGTGGTATGTGTTTAGTGCTCATATCTGGGCGGTGGTGCACACATCTTTGATCCCAGCACTTGGGAAGCAGAGGCAGGCAGATCTATGAATTCAAGGTCAGTCTGATCTACAGAGTAATTTCCAGGTCAGCCAGGACTACAAAGAGAAACCCTGCCTTGAAAGAACAAAGAACAACAAAAACAAAGACTTTGGACTCCAGGAAATGAAGCCGTAAAAAACCTCACACTGGGAGTTGCACCCAGCTTTAAATAAATGACTCCTCAAGAACCTGGGAGCCCATGCAATATTTAAAGTGTGCTTTGAACTGAGGATCACCTGGACCATAGAACACTGCTACTCTTTCCCCAGATCCAGCCTGCAGTTCATGCAGCAACAAATACTTACACCACTGTACTGTACTGGGTATAAGGCATTGGCTGTGTCAAGGACAACGAGACTGTCCCATACATTTGTAGTCTTGTAGGAGGTAAAGGTCAAAGAGTGGAGATTTCAGCACAGTGAGGAGGGAGTAAGTTGAGGATGCTGGAACCATGGGAGAGACACCTCATCTTGCCTCGGAGGCCAGAGTAAGCATCTCAGAGAATATGTTCCTCCAACTTCCCAGCTTGGGGATGAGGAGGGAGAGCCATGGAGAGCAATGAGTGAGAATGTTGGGGTACCCCGAATTGAGGAGGGGTCCCCAAGCTGGATTCGTCACCCCAAGAATCAAGAGTCCACGTGCCAATTGATACAACACGCAAGAGGCTTTAATTAGGCATCTGCAGATGGGCCTCTCGGTCAGCTTTTAGACCGATTGGCCCCGAGGTTCAGTTACAATCAGCTTTTAAAGACAAAAATCACAAGCTTTTGGGAAGGGTCACTATCTCGTGACGGGGGAAGGGGGTACGTGACTCCTGTCCCGGGGAAGTAGATGTCTTCCTGACCTACATGTTGTAAATTCCTCAAACCTTGGCATGAGTTAATTATCTCTCCCTAAGTAAATAGTGTTATCTCCTTGTTTCCCACTAGTCTTGTTTGCCCATCTCTGAAGCCCTGGCCAGTTCTTCACAGATGGTCGGCAGCCTGTAATTGGCCTTTTGTGGATTTACAGCCCTTCTGCAATTAAGGTTGCTAAACCACACATTCCATTCTGTGGTATGGCCGGTTCCTGGGATGGGGTCCTTTGTTCACTTCCCAAGTTCTCTAGTGGGGTGCCCTCCCTGTTTAAACTTATATTTTATTTCTATAAATTCGGGGTCTTTCAAGAACAGTATTTCAAGCAGAAGATACAGCAGAAGACAAAGGAAGACGTGTACTCTGATGAGTGGCTGAGGGTGTCCGGGGTGCAATATGAGAGGGGTGCACAGACACACAGAGAAAGACAGGTGGAAGCTGGAGGTTTCCCCAGGAGAGGCTGGTTCTATGGGTAGTGCTGGGACTGTATTAGAAAAGCTACAGGCAGCCTCTGGGGAGCTTCAGGTAGAGGAAAGGGCCAAGGGAAGGGTGGTTTGGAGAAGCTACACCTATAATCGGTAGCATAAAGAGTCTGAGGAAGGTGGACATTTAAGACTTCTAGTGTATGACCTATAAGTGTGTCCATACAAAGTTAGTGAGGAGAGGGGAAGAACAAGGCTGAGGTGCTTTACTTAATCTCAGCTGATGAGGGATACTTTAATGGAAAGGAGGTCTGAGGTGCCAGCATTTTAGTAGGGAGCCAGAGACTGGAAGAAAGGAAGCTTGACAGGCCAAAGATGAGACAGCCCTCCAGGAAGGGCAAGTCCTTTAACATGGAGGAAGTAGGTAGGAGAACAGGACTACAAACCCAAGATGACAGTCTTTCCAAGCACACTCTTCTTGGCATGTTGCATGTTGTGTGTATTCGGGAAGGTGCTTCATGCTGGGTGTCTGTGTGTTTGGACCAGCAGTTTGAGAAGGGATGTTCTGAATTGGGGCTAATTTGCAGAACTCTGGAATGTACACCGTGTGTACTGCCTGTGGTAAAGAGGGATTTGTGTCTAACATATGCTGGGAGAGGACATATGTCCCCAAACAGCCTGTGATTCCAAGAAGAGATTTCAAACCAGAACAAGTTTGGGCTCTGTTCATATTCAGGGAGTATGGGTTCGCTCGCTTTGCACACAGTGGGGGCATATGTTTTGTCAACTGAATTAGCATTTCATCTTTATTGAAACTCAGTTATTTTAGGAAGGATATGTTTGGTTAAAAGTTTAAATGAGATAGTTTAAGAAAAATAAATTCAAGCTGGTAATTTAGAGCAGTGGTAGAATGCTTGCCAATAGGCAGAAAGCCATGGGGTCAATCTCTAGTATTGCAAAAATAAATTAGTAAGCAAACAAATAGCCAGTAACGGTGGTACATACCTTGTAATCCCAGTACTGAGGATGCAGAGGCAGGTGGATTTCTGTTAGTTTAAGGCCAGACAGGGCTATACAGAGAGACCCTGGTTTTTTTTAAAGTAAATAAATAAAAATTAGAAAAAAGAAAAAAGGGCAGGAGATGTAGTTCAGTTGGGAGAGTGATTGCCTGGTATGCATGGGACCCAGGTTGGTCCCCAGTGCTACATAAACCGGGTGTGTTGGCACATGCCTGTAACATCAACCTTTGAGAAGATGAAGAAAGAGAATTAGCAGTTTCTTCTTAGTTATCTAACAAGTTCAAGGTAAGCCTGGGCTACACAACCCTATCTCAAAAACAAAACAAAACAAAACAAAAACAGAAACAAAACAACACCACAATAAAACAAAACCCAATGCCAGATACTCTCATTTTTTTATGAGGCCTAGCAGTCTAAATCCTGTGGTGCAGCTCATATTCTGGCTGGGGACCTATTCTGTGCACAGAACTTTCATTTAGCTCCACAAGCATTTCTGGAGCCCAGGCTTTACTGTGAAGACTCATTTCCCTTTCTTCTCAGACACCTTAGTCCCTGGACTGCATTTAACACTTAATTATAGGTTTTTTTTTGTATTGCTCCTCAATTGTTTGTGAGCAGTATTAGTCTGCCCCTCAAGGAGGCCAAGTGTTCCTTGGGGCAGGGACTATGTTGCAAACTTCAGGTTGATCAAGAAAAGCATGAGAGGGGTGAATATACAGGAAGCATTTGAGGACAACTGGAAACAAGAATGGAAAGCCATGCATTCATTGTATGTTCCTTTACTAATATACAATTGCAATCTACATTTTCATGTTAAGGGAAGGCTTTGTGTATTAAAGTCATTGATGTGAGTCACTACAATGTTTTGGTATTTTTAATTCGAAACCGAAGTCTTTCCTGAGGTTGAGAATTAAAAGGGAGAAGCAGTTTTGGATGAATCACACCCTAGCAGGATTGTCCTAGAGCAGGCACTACAAGCATTTCAGACTAGTTAATTCATCCATGGGAAGCGGTCTTGTACACAGCCGTACACTGGTAGCATCCTTGACCTTCAGCAGCTTAGATGCCAGTAGGAAACAGCTCTCACCAAACACCAATGACTCCAGATATTATTAAGTGTCCCTGGGGATAAAAATCACCTCTAATTGTGAACCATCTCCCATAGTTGGAGGCAGGTGAAGGGACATGCTAGTTTTAAATTTTATTTATTTATTTATCTATTTATCTATTTATTTATTTATTTATTTATTTATTTATTTATTTATTTATGGTGTATGCAGGTCTAAGGATAACTTGCTGGAGTTGATTCTCTCCTGCCACCTTGCAGCATGCTGGGGCTCAGGTTTGACCACACTGTTACCCACTGAGCCATCTCTCGCCAGTTCCCAAGACATGCAATTTTTATTTGCTGTGACCTAGGCACTATGTTACTCGGCTTTATCAAATAGATCAGAGTTGAACCTGATGAAGATGCTGGTTCTAGGATCCCATGTGACTCCCCAAACTGTACCAACACTCCACTGGCTCCTAGAAAGGCAGCAAGTAACAAATTGGAGATGAGCCGCAACTTCAAAATGTTTTAAAACCTTCTTTTTAGAGAAGGGAGGGAACTAGTACTCTTTTACTCTTTAAATTTGTTTGAATGTAAACACACACGCACACATACACACATGCCCCTCTCCACCGTCCTTGGCCTTATCCAGGAAAAACACAGAACTACACAATGAAACAGCTTCGATTCTCCCTGTTACAAATGATCCAAAAGCTAGAGCCTAATGGTGCCAAAAAGCAACCGGTATTGTTTACACAAGGGTTGAAGGCTAATAGTTAACGTTCTCCCATTTAATTCTAGAAACAGTAAACACCGCCTCGCGTTACAGCTCCAAACGAATAAATGTCATAAAACAGGGGAAGAAAACTCTTGGTCCAAAGCAAAATGGAAAGGTTGGGTTTTCAAGGTCTTCTGCCCTCGCGCGCCGCCCCCGGTTACCCGGCCTCGGGTTCCTGTCGCCCAGAGCTTCTGGCTTCCTTTCCCGCCTGGGCGCGCTGGAAAAACAACAGCCAGAAACTTTGGCTGGGCTTGCAGTTCAGTGAGGGGGGGGGAGCAAAAGCAAAAAAAAAAGGGGGGGGGGAGGCAGATACTCTAGTTCAGTTCCGGACCCAGCTGAACTTTCCGATTTAGGGGTGAGGGCTGGGGGAGGGGGGTCACAACTCGGTCAAGTTCAAGTGCGCATGTGTGCATGTGTGAGAGGAGTCGCTCCAGCATTTTTTGAGCGCCTACTGTGTACAGTCAGCCAGGGTGTGTGGAGCGCGCGCGCGCGCGGCCGGGGTTGGGGTCGCGCGGGCCGTGCGCACGCGTGGCCGGGGGTGTGTCCTCGCGTCTAGCTGGCTGGCTCGCCGGCGGACTGGCTGCGAGCGGTTCGTCAGTCAGTTCCATCCGGGCCGGGTTGTGGCTGCAGCCGGGTATGTGAGCGCAGTGTCCCGGAGAGGGAGGGCAGGCCGGCCAGGTGGGCGCGAAGGCGGCAGCGGCGGGAGGCGGCGCAGTGCAGGGGCCGCGCCAGTGGCGGGCAGGGCCGCGGCCGCTGCAGGGAGCCGAGCTGTCCCGGCCAGTGGCCGGCCGAGGTGAGCTGCGCGCGGGACCTTGCGGGGGCTGCAACCCAGGATTGGGGACAGCATTGGGCGGGGGGCCCAGGAGGCTGGTGCGGCCCCGGGCGGGACCGGGGCTCTTGCGTTGGTGGCCGGATAGGAGTGGCCTCTCGCTTTCTCGCGCATCGCCTTGTTTATGTTGCGGGTCTTATGGCTGGATCTTTTTCCCAACTTTGAGCAGTGGCCGGGAGTGGCCTCGCCGGCCCACACTGACCTGTTAACCTGCCCCTTTTCCGACTGGGCCATCAGCCCGGCGCTCCGCGTGCCCCTGCCTTCTCCAGATCAACAGAGAGAGGTGCTGTGGGAAGTGGCCTCGAGACACACCCTCTCTCAACCCCCTTCTTGCGGCCCCCTTCGCCGCCCCATGGCTCTAAGCCTGCTGGGCTCATCCCGGGTCCCTTCTTGGCCATAACACTGTGGGAGTGGCCGATGGGGGCCTAGAAAGGGAGTTTGTCATGGACAGACAATTCCGAGGCAGGGTTCCCTTCTTGCCTGGGAGTTAAGGCACTGCCTTCACTTTCAGGCCCACTTGGAGGTCTACCTGCCAGCAATCCAGCACGAGCCCTGTTTTCCATCCCTCCCTTTCCTGTGGTTTTGGAGGACTTCCACCAGGCATGGGTTTCCATGATGCCAGGCCATGGCACAGGGACTGTCTACAGCCCTTCACTGCTTTCTTGACTCTCCCTGAATAGAAGGGTGTAAAGTGGGGCAGTTGGTTTCAAAGTGGGCAATCAACAGGTCTTGTAGCTTGGGGACACCCTCCTAAGGGGGTGTGTAAATAGAGGTTCTTGCTTTGGAAGAATGAAACAGAAGGACATTGGTTAGCCTACAGGTACCTCCGAGAACCTACTCTGTTCTCTTTCTACTGCCAAGACTTCTGGGCGATGCCTACAGGCACGTGAAAAGTCGAAAGCCCCAGGAAGCTACAAGAGAAAGGATTTAAGAGCGTAAGTTTAAATTAATGTGCTATAGTCGCAAAGTTAATATAAACGTTGGGGCACAGGGAGCATGGCAGTTAAAGGTGGGGAAGGGCCCTTGGCACACATTTTAAATAATTTCCATCTGTAGACAATTCCCTGGCAAGATTCAGAAGTCAGAAGGAAGCGTTCACAGGTGGCAAGCTTGTTAAAGGATGTCCAGTGGCCTGGTTGTTCCCGTGAGTAAGGCAACAGAAGATGCACAAATAATTCTCTCCAGGGTTTATAATCTCTTGGAGGATACAGAAAGACTTGAGCATGTGAAATAAGATTCCAGATGGGGCACAGTTAGTTGTCGAAATGCCAGGTACAGAAATGGGTGCTGTTGGAGGTCAGGGGGACGGCGCTATGTACAGGGATTGCTAAGCATGTGTTATGTCCTTGCATGACGAGACTCTAGAGATGGGACATAATAAATGTGGGGAATGAATATGGGTTTCTCTAGAGACTAGGAGATGGCCTTGGCCCTCTTGGAATGTTTCCTGAACAGTAAGAGATAAAGATAGAGAGGAACAATAACTGAGATTGTGAAAGTCCTAGAAAGTCAGACCAAGGCATTAGACTTTTATCCTGGGTGTACTGGGGAGACATTAGGCCAGGGGGTGATGTAACTAGGGTATTTGTAGAGATTTTTGAATTTGATGTTAGGAGGCAGACCAGTGAGTAGCCTGTTGCACTTTTGGAGTGCTGTGGGTTTGGACTTGGTTTTATTGGAAGACTTTACTGTTGAAATATTCTGTTGACAGGGGCAGGGTGGAGAGATGTGAATAGGAATTCATTCCTGGAGGAAGCTGATTACACACCAGGGCCTTGAAGTTATCTGTGAGAATCATTTTCAGAGTGGACATTGCTTAGACTACAACTACGCTAAGTGACTGATTGTGTGTGCAGGGAAATACCAGACACTGTCTTCCATTTGTCGTTTTTGTCTTGTCTATACAGAAGTGAAAATTACTCTTCAGGCTTTGTCCTGAGCTTTGCCTTCAATACCGAGTCTTTCATACTGATTTTTCTATAAATGCTTCTTTTGGTGCTAAGTGTACTGATCAGAGTTCATCATAAAATTTAAATAGTTCTATTTAGGAAAGAATCTGATGCATTGTTAGACAATAAATGAATTCCCCAGAACCATGGAAGCCCAGAAATCTGAAATAATTATCTCAGTTCTTGCCACCACTAAAAGTAAAACAGGAGAAGGAATGGGAGATCATTGGTGTTTTTCCAAAGAATCCTTCACAGTTATAAAATATTATCTTTTTTGGTCATCCCAGATTCTTCAAATCTGCTTGAGAATTTGTGGTATGATTCCTTCAGCATTTTTCATTACTACAGGTTGCTTTCACAGTGGTTTATATGATTTTACTACTAGAAGATAAACGATAAATACTTTTAGCCTCACATAGCAGTGCCCTGATGAAAACACAGACAAATGTCACAGTGCCTCCAGTATGGAATTGTAGTTCCTTCTCTCTGTACCAATTTCCAGAGTACTAGCCCAATTTTCATTATTCCCAACAGTCAATGAAGGTTACTTTCCCCACACAACCAACCCTAGCCTTTGTTGTCAGTTGTTTTATTGATGTTAGATATTCTAGCTGGGGTGAAATCTCAAAGTTATTTCATTTTGCATTTCCCCAATTGCTAAGGATGATGAACAATTTTTAGACATCTGTTAGCTATCATTATTCTTTGTTTGAGAACTCCCATCTAGACGGTCTTGTCTTCTGACTATCTGCATTTTCTTCACCAGTAAATGATTGAGTGAAAGGGGCTGGTTTAGAGAGACTTGGAAATGGCCTGAAGTCAGCTTTATTGGTAGTGTCTGTCCACTAGTGGGCACTGCATGAGTCCTGGAAATTACTTTTCTTAAGGTGCCTGGACGTTTGAAGATCTGAGAAGAGACATAGGGCACAGGGCAATCAACTCACAAAGCAAGGAGTAGGGATGTGGTGTGGAGATCACCTGGATCATTAGCTCTCAATCATTCTGCAGAAGACATAGATATCTAGAGTCTGTTCCCTGGATTCCATGTGTCTATCCATCTATTTTAATAACAGTTCTCTGAACAAAATAGAATCTCACTGGGCATTATGAGGACACTCAAGAAAAAGCATCTCCACTGTACCTAAATTCAAAGAAATAGAAATTACTCAAATCCTTTATATCATATATAATATATAAGTGTAATACACACACCCACACACATATATTCTGAACTAGAAAGAAGAGGAAGAACTACTTGGGAAGAAAAAACTGGGAGCTATAGTATATGAAAGAATACAAGGGCAGGGGCCTCGCTGAACTGGAGCAGGATTTCATGGCCTGATGTGAACCAGCTGTGGTTTCCTGCACAGCACATTGGGAAAGAGAGCTGGGCAGAACTCAAAAGACAGAAAATAAATCAGGGTGGAAACGGGTGGGGCATGTCTTGTTTTCTTATAACCTACAACTGGGTTTGGAACATTTTCTATGTAGTTGATGGCCTTAAATCCAAGACATTCTTTTCATTGTATACAGAGCATTGCATGCTGATTAGTCAAATATTGTAATTTAAGAGTCCTGCCAGGTATTTCTTGTTGAAGTGTGGGCGCTTGCACAGCAGTAAATACTCAACACAGAATGAAACCAGTGGTGTTATTGTATCATACTGCTTAGATTGAGCATTTTTTTGTTTTCCTGGTCTTTTGTTTCTGTTTATATGTTTTGTCTTTTCATGAGTGTTTTGTGTGAGAGTATATTCTTTTTATTTTCTAAAGCATTCTTTATTGTGGTTTTGTTTGTTTGCCCTTTTGTTTGACTTAGAGAGAGAGAAAATAGAAATACAGTGTCTTGGGGTCTCCATCATTATCCTCCACAGTTAGGGAGCTGTTGCCACGCAGAGTATTGAGGTCGAATTTCGTGTGACTTCTACTTCAGACAAATGAGGAAGTTGGGTGGTTCAGAGAGAACCTGTTGTGTGTAAGCACAAGCGTGTCTGGCCACAAGACTTGACACCCTCACAGGTGGAGAGAAGACATCCTAGCAACTGCACAGGGGCCGTGGAGAGGAAGCTGGGAGCTGTGCTGGGGATTCTGTGGGTGCAGATTGGCTGTGAGTTGTGCTCTCCTAAATTGCTTTAGGGATTCTTCAGAGAGGTCAGTGGTGGAGGGGGAAGGAGACAACCTAGAGCTTCTGTGCAGTCACCCTTATGGTGTCTCCTGGGATATTTGACAGGTGTGGGTGGAAAGCCCTCACTCGTTCTGGCTTGGTTTTCTGTTTCCAAGCAGGGGTGAGAGGAGTTGAGGTGGAGCAGAATCCTTCAGCCCTGAGTCTCCGTGAGGGAACCAGTTCTACGTTCACATGCAATTCTTCTACAACCATGAAGACTGTGCAGTGGTTCCAGCCGAATCCCAAGGGGCAGCCTCATCAGTCTTTTCTTCCCGACTCCAGGAACAAAGAGAATGGGAGGTTAACTGCAACATTCAATTCTAAGAAGCGCTACAGCACCCTGCTCATCAGGGATGCTCAGCTGTAGGACTCAGGCACCTATCTCTGTACTGCTGAAGCAAAGTGCTCCCAGCAAGCCTGAGGCCTGGCCCCAAACTGCAGCTGGGTGTGCAGCAATGTTTGTGAGGAAGCACAATAATATCACAGCAGAAGTTCACTCTTAAGCTGATGTGATACTGACTTGTAGAAGGATAAAAGCTCAGAAGCATCAGCCACATGACTAAAATCTACACTTTATTTTATCAAATGACAAACTAGAGAGATATATTCGTTATTTAAATTACAGTAAATCTAGCAATTGTTTCTACCAAAATATTTACTTATCTGCAATGTAATACACATGCCAAACTTCTCATTAAAGCACTTCTTTCCAAAGAAAACCTGAAAATCTCCTTAATGTTATCCAATTCAGATAATTCAATATACAATAATTAACTATGATCCAAACAACTGCTGTTTACCAAGGGTTGGCAGATTATTTTCCACAGCTGAAAAGCTCTGGCATGCCACTTGTCTGTGTAAGAACTGGAAAGCAGCCACACACATTCATTCATGAATTGTCTGTCCATTGTGTTTTCACTGTGAAACAGCAGCAGAGTGGTTAACCAGCAACTGGATGAGCTAAAACATTTACTTTCTAGAGCATCACAAATTAAATCACCCATTGTGATTCATTCTCAGCTCCATCCCCATTGCAACTACACTTGTTTCAAATATAGATTATCTTAGCTTACCAAATAATAAACAACTCCAAATTGTCTTTAAGACAAGATCTATGTGAGCATGGTTAGAAGTGGTGACACAAGTGACAGCTACTACAATAAGAATCACTAATTCAGTCATCTAGAGGGTTCACAATTAGCAACCATCATAATCCTAGACTCTTGATAGTGTGTGGTGAGGAATCAGGTGAGATTGGAATATGGTAATTAGGCACAGAAAGAGGGGACTCTGAAAAGTCTTTCAAACTGATCTTGATAGATCTTTTTCCTAATCTCATTCCTGATTAATTGAAAGTATTTGTTTAATAAAGAAATGAGCTTGAAGACTCTAGATAGTAGTTTTAGAAGTTTTCTAGAAGGAAAAATGATGTTTTTAAACATCAATATAGATGTTATTTTCTGTTGTAAATCATTAAAATAGAAATAACAATTTAGAATATATCGAAATACAAAACATGAAAGAGTTTTTGGAATTGAGAAAAGCACTTTCCATTCTTCTGCACTTGCATGGACAGCCATCATGACTGGGTCATCCTCTTCATCCCAGGCTTTTAGAAGGTCTCTGAGCTCTGACACTTGAATCGCCAATGACTGCTCTCTTTTAAAATCTGGTCCACAGTGGTATCTGACTGATGCACAATAGCTTTCATCATGTTATAGTCATCAGTCATCTTCTCCATGTCCTGTACTGTGGGGACACCAGACCTTGAGCAGAAACCCACTTCCCCTTCGGCCTGGGAGCAGGTAGCTGTGAGATAATGTTTACTGAAAACATGTTTACTGAAAACAATTCAGTGCCATAAAGCTCTTGTTAGGGCTCCCATAAGGGCTCGCTCACTGAAACACCATGACTTTGATCCCCCCTATGGCTAGATGTTCCTTATTGCTTCCTGCTTTGTCTCCCCGATTCTGGGGCTGGAGATTAAACCACCAGCCAGGAGGGTGAGAAGTCTGGGAGAGCTGTGAGAGGTGTGTGAGAGCTAGGTTGGAGAATTATATGTAGATGGATGGCAGAAGTCCTTAAAAAGGGAAGCGTTTTTTCTTGGGGAGTTCTCCTAAGCCAACTTGGGGAGCATAAAGTTTTCTTAACACAAACGACCAGTCTCTGTGTCATCTATCCCTACCACCTCGCTACATTCTTGGATGCAGGCTGCGCAGGCAGATGCGACACTGTACTGACTGTTATAGATTTTATTCTCAATTCTTGGTTCTCACCTCTAATTTTCTCATCAGCTTCCATCAAGGCCTGAATTCCATCCAGATGCTGACCAATTTCACAGTATTTATTCATTTATTTATTTACTTATTTATTTACAGACAACTGTGATAGGTTATCATTATCTTCTCAGACTGATCAACATGATTCTTTCTGTGAATCTGTTTGTTTCTGGTCCTCAGTAATGCCCAAAGCTGTTCATTCTCTCTTCTTAATTTGTTGTTTCCATTTTCATTCTCTCCATTTCAAACAGCCAATTGTTCATTACATTTCTTCTTTATCCAACTTTTTCCACACTCTTTAGCTGTCTTTTTTCAAGTTGGTGAACTTTATCCCATAAACTGAGTATCACATCTGCTTGCAGACTGCGGAGCCATCTCAGTTCATTTTTCAGTCTCCTTCCTTATATCTTTAGTAGATTTTCAAAATTTCCTTGTCCTACTCCAGGCTGTTCACCTTCTTGAAAGCCAGCTCTGCTTCCTGAGCTGTCACCTCCATCAGTGACAGAGTAATTCTGATAGATGTCACATTTTCTTCATCCTCATCTTCCACCTTTACCTTCACTGAGGTGATAATGAATTACCTGACAATTCTTCTTTCTGTGACCAGTCATCTGGATAAATGTAGACTACTCCCTTATAGTTTCTACTGGGTGAACTCTTGAATTCTTTCACTGTCTTTCTCTCCTAGACCATGCCTTGTAACCAGTCATTGTTCATTCCCAACAGCAGCCACCACTCCTGGTTCAGCCATGGCCAACCTCTTCCTAGAGCCATCCTTACACACTCAGGCTTCCACCAACTCTTATTGCAAAAGCCAAAGCACAGTGGCTGCTAGGTGATGCAAGCCTGATATTTTTATATAAATTACAGAAACTACTTTTCAATTAATAATTTTACCGTGGTATTAATTATGTTGTATTTTATAGTAAACTAGGCCACTTTTTCTACATTCAGAGAGAGAAAAGCTTTCTGTTTTACATCAGGTCCAACAAACTTAATTATAGTTGGAAGTTTTAATCTGTCTTGTCTGGTCCCATTATACTGGTTTCTCTCCTGCCCACTGGTCCCTGCAGCTGCTTATTAAATAATCATTTTGAGGATTAATTATACTTGCTCGGTCAATGGCTCAGTCATATTACTGACTAGCTCTCACAATTAAATTAACCCATTTCTGTTACTCTATAATTTACCCCAAGCTTCTGTTTCCTGTGGCTACATGGTGTCACCTTGACTCCACCTTCAGTGTTTCATATCTTTCGGTGGATTTCCCTCCTGCTCTATTCTACTTGACCATAGGCCAAAGCAGCTTTATTCATTAACCAATAAAAGCATCACACATTTGCAGTGTACACTTCATCACTACTTCTATTGAGAATTTTAGCCTTCTGGGTACCTGCAGTAAGCCATCAAGATGGGGCTGTCAGTGTGACTTTTATTTCATATGTTAGCAAACTCTACCATTTTCAGATAGTCCAAGTTGCCAGGAGTAAGTTTCTTACAAGAAAGCTGTTTTAGATGTAATGATAAAACAGCTCATCCTAAAGGAGCACCCTGCATACAACTGCTTCAGCTATCCAGTCCACCACCGTAACACTCTATGTATGGCCACTATATTTAGAAAAGCTCAATTTATTTTATTTCGTTTGACTATAAATTTAATCTCCACATGAATTGCTATCAATTTATATTATAGGAGGTATGCAAACCAGATGGGATCATATCTATTTTTTCAGGCACCTTTCAGAGAAATGGCAGGCATGTTAGATGCCCAAGAATGCATTCTGGTCTTAGATTTCCATACTATGAGACAGTTTCTCCCCAGTCTTTTGTCACTCTATGCCTGACTCTGCTCGCTTTAGGTATTTTCTGTGTTCAGTAGCATAAGAGAATTCAAGGTAGAAAAGTTCATAGAAGTCCCTCATCTAATTCCATCACAAGGCAACAACAATGTTCAAAATTCCATTAAAAATTGATTAGATGAGGAATTTGGGAGATGGATCAGTGGTTAAGAACACTGGCTGCTCTTCTAGAGGATATGGATTCAATTCCAAGCACCCACATGATAGCTCACAACTATCTGTGACTCTGGTTCCAGGGATCCAACACCAACATACAGCATTCATGCAGGCACAAACACCAATGCACATGAAATGAAAATAATTTAAAAACAAATAGATGGCAAATGAACATGAATAGAAGGACACCCTGCTTCCACATTTCCTCCTTAGCATTTTGTCCCATCTTATTCCTGCAGCAGCAGTCACCTCATGAAAAATCAACCATTTTAAGCTCTGCATGTTGGACGTGGAAAGGACACGACCCATTCAGTATAAGAAACAAAGCTCCAAACCTAGACAACATTGAGGAAGAAAGACTCAGGCTGATCCATTGCTATTCTCTTCTTTTCTGGTTGAAAATAGAGTTGGGGCTGGAGATGGTTCAGAAGTTATTAGCATTAGCTTCTTTTCCAGAGTTCCTGAGTTCAATTTCCAGCAAACACATGATGTATAACCATCTATAATGAGATCTGTGTCCTTTTCTATCGTGCAGGCATACATGCAGGCAGAACACTGTCTACAGGGTTTTTTCTGTGTAATATATTGTGATCACTGCTTCACTTCCCATATATCCTAGATTGTGCCCACATCCACTCCTATCTAACTTAACATACCTCCATCTTTTCAAAAAACAAAAAAGTGAGTAAACCAACAAACCAGAATTGAATGAAGAAACAGAATATAAAAAGAATGAGAAGCACATGTAAATACACCCAAGCACACATGCATATGCATACACAAAAATTAATAAAAACACAAAATTAGAAATCATAACATATAAGCAAGCAGCTAATATATTAAATAATTTCCAGATTAAAAATTATGAGATTAAAAAAATCTCTAAAAATAAAATTGAGTTCATTTGAGTTGACCATCTATAGTTGGGTATGAGGCTGGTCCTTTTTTTTTTTTGGTTTTACGAGACAGGGTTTCTCTGTATTGTTTTGGAGGCTGGGAGGCTGTCGGTCCAGCCCGGCCTCGAACTCACAGAGATCCGCCTGCCTCTGCCTCCTGAGTGCTGGGATTAAAGGCATGCACCACCACCGCCCGGCTGAGGCTGGTTCTTAAGTGTGGTTTGTATACCAGTGAAATGCTGTTGGCAAAAACTAAGTTTTCCTTCAGGAGAGGTTTTTCAATTGAATGTGGCATCTAGGTTAGGAATGAGGGATCATGTTCACGTCAGCTCTCAGCACTGGGATTCCATCTGTATAGGACCTGTACAGGCCATGAGCTTGTTGTCACCACCTCTATGAGTTCATATGTGATCCAGTCTTATTGTGTCTGGAGGACATTATTTCCTTACTGCCTCCATCCCCACTGGCTTGGATAATCTTTCTGTTTTCTCTTCTGCAAAATTCTGTAAACCCCGAGTGGAGAAGTTTGATGGGGACATTCCATTTAGGACTGGGAGTTCAGATGGGAGTTCAGATTAATCCTCAGTGAATGCAGGAGGAGTGAGAGGATAGGACTCTGCAAGTTGTCTATTACAGGAGATGGTACCAGGGGAGCTGTAATGGAGGACAAGACGGTCAGTGAAGATGACCTACCTACTTTCCCAGGTTATACGCTCACTGAGTTACCAGTTAGACAGTGTAATTTTTCACAGTTGAGACAAAGGAAAGCAAATGGGTAAGAAATGTGGTGGTGTGGTGCTGGGAGGGTCCACAGGAAGGAGGAAAGTTGGGTTTTTTTGCAAGGTTTGACAGACTTTCCAGAGATTCTACCACTGCTGTTCTATCAGTAATTCAGTCTAGATGCTGTGGGAGTGAGTGACATGGATGGTGCCATCCTCAGGATCAAATGACTTTTGAAAGCTTTCCTAACAGTAGTTCCTATGTGTATTTGTGACTCTGGAAAGTAAGATACATGCAGAGAAACGTCATATCTGTATTGTCAGCACGTGCTCACTGTAATGGAAGGAACATTGTCATCTTGAAACCAAAGCCCACAAGAGACAGAAAAAGCTGTTACTAGGATACCATAGCTCTCAAGGACAAACGCTGGTCTAAGTATCTGTCTCCAAGCCATTTCCTCAGTTCTGAGTGGATGACTCTAGAGGTTGCATTGTTACTGACAAAGAAAAACTCCCTGGTAGCTTTAACTGACCTAATAGACGTCATGATCTATACTGGATCTTAATTTAATTGTGAAGAACGATAAAGACATATGTACCAATTTTATTCATGTTTCTATGGCTGCAGCTGGATGGTGACTTAAGATTTTAGGAACATAGAATTCTCAGTGGGCATTTCTGAGATATCTAGGATAAACTCTTTTAAATTCAGATTTTCTCTAGTTACTGTGTAAAAAAGGAATCCTGGGTAGTGATGACCTAACAATTCTACTTTTTTCTCTATCATTCTTCATAGGGACGAGCCAAGGAGAGCAGGTCGAGTAGCATCCTTCCACCCTGAGAGTCCAGGAGGGAGCCAGTGCTGCCGACAACTGCACTTACACAGACAGTGCCTCATCATAGTTTCCTTGGTATAAACAAGGACCCGGAGAGCATCCTAAGCTCATTATTGACATTCGGTCAACTATGGAGGGAAAGCAGGACCAAAGACTGACAGTTTTACAGGATAAGAAATCCAAACACTTCTCCCTGCACATCAGAGACACCCAGCCTGGGGACTCTGCCATGTACTTGTGTGCTGCAAGTGCACACTGCTCCCCAGGCACCTGCAGCCTGTCCTCAAACCTGTCACGGGGCCTGGAGCCCCATCCACATCCTGTGTCACAGACCTTCCTGTGAAACATTTGTCAGTTGTTAGTTTTCAAAGGCCAACTTTAGTGTAGACATTAAAGACACAAAAAAGAAAGTTAGCTTCAACTCACTCCAAACATTTAAGTGAATTTTCTCCTGTTTTTTTAAAAAATTATTCTAAAACTTGAAACACAATTTTGTCATTTCCTGTCCATGGTGCAGCACTGTACGTCAGGGAAGGTGAGGCTGTAGCACACTCACCCTCAGATGGAACATCTCCATCACACAATCTCCTCCCAAGGTCACTGAGGAAGAGGAGCAGAAAGGATGGCAGAACCAGAGGCAGGGGATGAGAACAAGGAGACAGCATTTTCTGAACACAGCAGGACAGCTGCACACATGAACTCCCAGAGGTCTACAACATACATAAGACTTGTAAATGATCAGGCCAGACACAATTCCAGCAAGCAGAGGGAAGGTAGGTATTCCCACCCTTAGACAAGGAGCTATGGGCTGTTGGTAGCTTTTGGGAGGATTCGTGTTCTTTATTGGTGTAGCCCTTGGTGCATAGACTACCCTCCACTGAAGGCCACACATCCAAGAATATATGGGCTGTGAAGACCTTGATGTGTTAATTTTAAAGGAGCAGGGCAACTAGATTGGTAGGGAAGAGTGAATGGATCTGGCAGGAGTTTAGGTGGCAGGTGTATATAGTCAAATTCATTGCATAACATTCCCTAAGAACTAATAAAATGAAAAACGTATTAAAATTTCATGAGGTATTTATATATCACACTAAATACCATAGGATACATACAGTTCAGTAACGCTGGTGATTGTAGACATCCACTGTGGACATGAGACCTGCATCCTTTGGGTGAAGTTTAAAGTTTATTCACAATGTGTTGTGCAAACATCTGTGGTGCCATTTAAAGGGAAACCAGCAGAGGGCGCTAACTCTTCAGATGTGGTTAATGTCTCATCAGGTGGTGGCTTCACATGACTGACTGTCACTGTGCAGAAGGAGGTCTTTGTTTATGAGTGAGGAGTTTCAGGAAGGTCCTGAGGAGACTTGTCCTGTGAGTGTGGTGAACTCAAGAACCAAGTGTCATTGTCTTCTGTGAACATGCTGCCTGTCACCTGCCCAGTTCTGCTGCTCCTCTTGATGCTCGGTGAGTTACATTTACCTGAGTGCTGATTACGTCATCTTCTCATAGCTGTGGGAGTCTTTACATTCTTCCTCATGTAGCAATGTGAGTCCTCCACATTCATTATTTGTGTTCAGGAAAGGTCAGTGGAGATTCAGTGACGCAGACAGAAGGCCTGGTTACTGTCACAGAGGGGTCGCCTTTGACGCTGAACTGCACCTATCAGACTACTGATTCAGCTCCTACAGTTTTTTGGTACGTGCAATACCTCAACAAAGCCCCTCAGCTGCTCCTGAAGATCTTTACAGACAACCAGAAGACAGAGCAGCAAGGGTTCCACACCACTCTCCATAAGAGCAGCAGCTCCTTCCCCCTGCAGAAGTCCTCAGTGCAGCTGTCAGACTCTGCCCTGTACTACTGTGCTCTGAGTGACACAGTGAGGGAGATGCAGGGGAAGCTGCACAGAAACCAAGGTGCAGGAGGCTGAGGGGAGGGGCCCTGTGAGGGAATGCTGTGTGACTCTCTCAGCGGGTTTATGTATCATTCTGAAAAACAGCAACAAAACTCAGGTCAATTCTTAGAATCCCAGGAATCTGTTGATTTTCTGACAGGATAGGATGGAAGTCATTGCCAGCGACAACACAGCCTGCCTCCACAGTGACACACTTCCTCCAACATGACCACATCTACTCCAACAAGGCCACAACTCCTAGTTAGTGCCACTCCTTGTGAGATTATATTGGCCAGTTTCACTCAAATTGACACAACGGCTGATATCTACTTATAAATGAGTACATACGTTGTTTGTGTTTCTTGGTCTGGGTTACCTCACTCAGGATTATCTTTTCTAGGTCCATCTACACCTTCAGCAGCCATCAAATTATGATAGGTATAGTGGAGCCTACATTGTTTAGAGCAGGGAATAATGTGCATAACTCCACCTAAGTCAGAAATATGACTGGCATTGTCTCAAGTAAGTTTCATGTATGTAACCACATATGCTATGAATTTATAGGTTGCTTTTCTCCAAAATGTAGAATTCCACAGCAGACATTCTCATCCTCTGGCGCTTATATTCTCTCTACCTCCTCTTGTTTAATTTTCAGCAGGAGGTGTTGATAAAGATGTCCTATTTAAGATTAGACACTCACAGTTTCTATCTCAGTTCATTGACTAGAAATGAATTTCTGCATTGAATACTGTCTACTACAAAAACAGGCTTCTTTCACCAAGGCTGACATCATCAATGGTCTGTGTGTATAAATATGACCATTTTATCCTAGTTTGTGTCCCTGTTCTGTAATAGAATACTAAATCAAAAGTCCAATTAGCAATGAAAGGGTTTATTCCATTTTCCCCCCTGTCTAGTCCGTTACTGAGGGAATCTAAGGTAGGAAGTCAAGATAGGAATCTAGAGGCAGGGATTAAGGCAGAGATCATGGAGAACTAGCACTTATTGCCCTGATTCAGCTTACTTTCTTATACACACAGTGACCACCTGTCCAAGGGAGTCACAACCTACAAAGGACTGTGTCAGCTCACATAAATCACTAATCAAGAAAACGCTCCACAGATATGTCTAGAGGCCAGTATGATTAAAAGGATTACTCAGTTGAGTTTCTTCTTCACAAGTGTCTTTACTCATGTCAAGTTGGACACATGTCAATTTGACACATAACCAGATCACTATTAAAGTATAACTTTTCCTATCTTGTTGACTCCTAGGAAGTTATCTTAATATCACAATATAAAATATCAGAAAACTTTAAAATTTCCACTATTTAAAAAATTCAGACTTTAAAAGTTCCAGGTCCCTCAGAGTATCAAAATTCTCTTAATGATGGATTCTTATACAATTAAAGAAGTTAAAAAAACTTGAAAAAGCATGAAACAGTTACAATCAGATCAAAGCTAAAACTCAACCCATTAGAGTGAATAAGTCATTGTCTGATGTTTGGAACTCACTCATGATTTTCTACACTTCAAAGGGCTTGGACATCTCTACTTCTACAGGTTTTCCATCCACAGCACACACAGATTTTCTTGTTTTCTTAAGCTGATTCCTCTGTCCTCAGTGGTTGTCCCATGGTCCTCTTATTTCAATATGTTTGAGTCCCCAATGTTATTGGTGTTGACCATTAATTAATGGCCTCTCCTGCTTCTCTCCATGACTCCCCTTATCCTAGAATCTCCACTGAGACTATGTCTACTTTTAAATCATTATCATTCTGTTTTAATCATTATGGTTTTGTTGCATATTTTGAAATCCATAATGGTGATTCCTCCCTCAGCATTCTTGTTATTTAGGTGTGATTTGGTCTCCTTTGGTCCTTTCTTGCTCCATTTACATTTTTAGGGTTTTTCCTTGTATGTCTATGAAAACTAGTCTTGAAATTTTGTTCATGTATCACATGAATCAATTTTGTAAAAAATGGGCATTCTATCAAAAAAGCATTCTGTGGCTACAATGCAACCACAATATAAATTCCTGGTATATTCTTAAAGTGGTTTCACTTCCTTCTCTAACAGCATTAGTGTTTTAAGTATTTGCATTGGACTATTTGATGAATTTTTAATTGTTTTGGTAAGCATGAGAAAGGAATAGTTTTATTCTACTACATACAGATCTCTATTTTGCCAGCTCCATTTGCTGAAAGTGTCTATTCACCATTGTATTTGCTGTAGTTGTATTGATTTCTGAGTCCTCAAGTATAATTCCATCCGACTATGTGTCTCTTTCATTACAGGAAAATGCTGTTGGCTCCCATGTTGCTATTCTTTAATTAATAAAAAAGTGTGGTATCTCTTGCTTTACCATTTCAACTTAGGATTAGCTTCAACTATTCTGGCTATTTTGTGATTTCAGTGTTATTACTGATTTTATATCCCTGTGAATCATACTACTAGTATTTTCACAGTGATATTATTGAAACTTTAGATTGCTTTCAGTAGAATAACAATTTTACACAATTAAAAGCAAACAAACAAAATCTTGGTGAGGAGGCTGTAGTGTGGCCCAGTGAGTCACACAGTGTATCCTTCAGTCTGTACATCTTTTCTTGCAAGTCTTCCATGCCTCTGGCTTCTCTACACTGCAAATAATAGACCTTCACCTACATTCTTCTTGGATATCCTACAGATGCCTTGTGTCATGGAGGTCCTGCAACTTTGGATCTGCAGATCAGGGAGTTCACATGGTCTTGCAGTTCATAGATGAAGATTATGTTAGGGAGGGATAACTCATAGTACTGGTTCTGGGCCTGGATAGAGGCTGTGGTTATCCCACAATCTCTTTTCATCTAACCACTCAGGAAAGTTCTGCATCACTGCTCCAAATCGTTCACCCAATGCAGCAGGCAGAATGGAGTGAGGCCAATTATTCTGCTCTTATGCCCTTGCATCTGACTTAACATATTAGGACCCCAAGGGACAGCTCTACTGTTTTCCCCAGTAAGGTGACTGACCCACTATCCCCATTGCTGCAGCTTGTCAGAGCCTGATCCAGATCTTCTGTTCTTATGCCCCAGAGGCCAACTATCCCACCAGTGGAAGGTGACATATGCTTGTATGGGGCAGGCATCTTTTCCTACCCCTGCCAACACAAGGTAGAATGTGGATGGACCCAGCTCTTCTGATCTCACACCCTCAGGCCAGATCACCTGCACTTCTGCTAACAAATTCAGTTCTACTGTGCTGTTCAATACAGGAGCAGGACTCACTCTCCTGAGGATTACAGTTGAGGAGTTTCAGGTCCTGTTCTCACTAGTGTTGTAGACTGTGAATGGTAGGGTTAACTTTTTATGAAGCTATCCTGTTTCAGTGATAACAGGAGTCACTGACATCAATGTAACCAAGAGGCTGTGGCAGTGTCACAGGTCCAGACAGAGCATTTGACAGTAACTTAGGCCTGGAGGACGCCAGAATTCCTGGTGGCATAACTGCCTACTCAGATCTGTATGACCTCCACAGAAACATAGTCCTTGGACATGAACATGGTCCTAGGTGATGGCCCAGAACCATACATACTTCTGTGTGTCCTTAGTGGATACACAGACCGTGAACATAACATAGATCCCATCCCAGGTGTCTTTGCAACATGGACCCACACAAGATCCTATGGCCATTGATGGCAGTGCAGGTCACTCAGATATGTGAGGCTCTAACAGCACCATGTCCCCAGGTCCAGTCTTCTACAATGTCTTTGATGGCAATGGGGCCTGAGGTAACCACCAATAACATGGATGTAGCATTGCTATGAATTCTCACTTTGCCTTCAGCAACAGTCCCTGCCCTGATACCAACATGGTCCTATGTGGCAGTACAAGCTTCTAAGACACACATGACCCCTATCCAGGCATGTCCCTTTAACACCAACATGGTCAAAGCTGTGATCCTGACTGCAGGTTGCTGCAAGGCTCTCACTAGTAAAAGGAGTCAAGTATATCAACAGGGATACCCACGGCTGTGTCAGGGCCATATACAAGAAAAGGTCGTTGGCAGTAGCCAAGCCTGGGAAATCATCATGTCCCCAGGCAGCGAGCAGGCCATGGATTTATTTCGTACTCCCTTAATAAGTGTTCTCGTTTCCTGAGCAGCTTTATAGTCATACTCGTGTGTTTCCCATTAATTTGGTTCACATGATCATTTCAAGAAATGTGTATACAGAAAGTTATGTTATAGGGCTAGCTAAATAATGACTATAAGGACACAGTATAGATACTTTTTCAATCATGCAATGGATATCCAGAGAGTTGGCAACACCATCCGCATTCAAAGACTTGTGTAACCCTGGCTGACTGGGAACTTGCTGTGTAAAAGACCTGGGCACACAAGAGATCTGGGGTTACAGGAGGTTTGGAGCTACTATATATAGAGAGAAAACATTTGACCAATTAATTGATTCCAAGTGACAAGAGTTGCAAATAAATTTACGTTCATAAAAATAAGGTCAGTTTACTAAATACGGAATAAAGGGAACAGTCAATATAAATAGTGAGTAGAATTAGCAAATTACAAAAAATGAAGAACAAATAAATAGAAAAATTGAAACCAAAACAAAGATACTAATAAAACCAAAACAAATAAACCCCAACCGAAAAACCAAATAAACTAAGCTAAACAACAGTCTCTTGCTACAGATTTAGCATCAAAGACCTACAGCCTGTGATGGCCTTGGAATCATGGTAGGAAGTCAGTCATCAGATGGAAAAAACCTTTTGAAAGCTAGTATAGCCATGTCTACCCTCCATGGTGTTGTACTGGACAATCTGTTGAAAGCCAGGGTTCTCAGGAATTATTCTCTCAGGACTTCTGCATCTCAAGCTCCTTTTTGATGGTTTCTTTTCCATGGTAATATTGAGTCAACAGACCAGTGAGTCTACTTGGGGATGGATCACCTGGAGGGCAGCTGGTATTTGGCTCAGCCATGAGTTTACAGCTCTAAGAGGATGTCTCCTTCTGAGCCGGCCTTGATTTGAGGACATAGACTGTCTGTGGCTTCCTTGGCCTCCTCATTTATCTAAAGATATGCTATTGAGAAGGAAAGACAATTAGACTCACAACCAGCCTAGCTTCTCCACAGGTTAGGAAGAATCAGGGCATATTCACACTGGAAGCCAAGATCAAGTCCCCTATTCCCCCCAGCAGTGCTATGTTTGCTGGGGATGGGAGGCAATGGTGGCTCACTTGCCTGTGAGACTCAGTGCTCCTGCTGTAGCAGCTCTTTCTGCAGGAGGATCTCTTCCTGGGCTGGGACTGATGCCAACTCACACTGGAGATTTCCTGACCTAGAGCAGGAAAGCAGTTAGGGAACAGGCCTGGTGTGGACTTGCCCTGTCAGCTATTCAGTCTGAACCAGCCATGTTTAGCTGGACACTCAGCATGAGATTTCAGCTGAGAGCATTCCTTAATTTCCCCAAGGGAGAAGGGTCAGAGTGCACCTACCCTGAATATTTTTTCAGCTTTTTAAAAACTGCTAGAAGATGAAGTGACAACTACACTGTGCTGGGCATGAAAATACAGCTCATTTCTCCAGTTGTCTAGATGCATTATGATAGAAAGAAAATATCAGAGTAGCATAGTATGAGTAACAGTTCAGGCTAGATATGTGTGACTTTGGATAGACAACAGGTGAATGTGAGCAACCTTGGAAACTTAATGTAGACCTTTTAGGGAGCCTATAAAATGAAAGCACTTACATTTATAATTATTTCTACAACAAAGAAATGAGTCTGGTTCAGCTCCCAGCCCATATCTGTTCGTATAACAAGAAAAATCCTTTCACAGGAAAGGGATGCATACTGTAAGAGAGCCTGTAATCTGCAGGAGTGAGCTGCATGCAGATCTGCCCAAAGATAGGAAACTCTCTCTAAAGGTGATGTTATGGGAGGGAAGTTAAGTGGCAGGAGCACACACTGTCCTCCACATTAAACACTCCTTAGGTAGATTCAGGATGAGAATATCGAGAGTTTTGAGGACACACAGGGGACAAGGTTCTGAGAAGATACCAGAGAGCTCAGGAGAAAATAGGGGGTAAACAATCCCAGGAAACTTTAAGGCTCAAACACAGTATTTCTTGGAGAAGTTCCTGTAGACGGGGCCAACACAAACCCTGAGGTGTTCTTTCCCTCTCTGGGGCTGAGAGCCAACCAGATAGACAGAATCCCAAAGAGGACAGAGATCCAGGTTTATGTGACTTACATGGTCCTAAGAGCTCCTTCTGACTTGGGCTCTGACATCATCTCTAAGACACTGAAAGGATGCTCCATTTTTTCTGCTAAATCCCTGTGCTGGGTGATCAACTCCTTCTGCTTCAGCAGGTTCTTTGGTCTTTCATCCAGGCTTTCTTCTTCCTGTTCATTAGGAGATTTTGTTCTCAGTGGAGGGTTGCTCCTCCATAAGCATACACATAAACTCATGAGCACACACAAGAACATCTAGGCACACATATAAGCACACGGTAATGCAGTAACATGTTTGGTTTACCAGTTAATGCTGATATAAGGAGCAATTATTAGGTATACTATTGAGTAGAAGGTAAACTTTTGTTTGATGACAGTAGGAGAGAAAGACGATCAGTCATTGAAATGTCTATCCGGCAAACCTAATGCAGGTGGACATCTGGGGTCCTGACTTGTTACCCAACCCTGCTTAGGAAGTCCTCAGAATGTGCAATGTAGGAATGCTCCCCATCACAAGAGCACTGGATGGTGGTGGACCAGGACACTCGTCTTATTAACTGCATTCCACTTTCCATCAAGTTGAGCAACTTCCTCCAAGAGGAGCGGCTTTCAGCACAGACTGCCTCACTTCAGGTCCAAAAGAAATGACCCCAGGATTCTAGAAAATCTCCAGAACCAGGAGTGAAAAATAATATTTTTCCCTGTAAGTTGATTGATGGGAGATGTCATTCTATAAATCTGTCTCTTATTAGTTGTTGAATAGAGCACTGTTGGCCAATAGGTAAGCAAGATAAGATAGCTAGTACTAGGAGTGAAGGAGGATTCTGGAAAAGAGAGGCAGAGATGTACGCCGCCAGAGTAAGAGATCCGGACCAATTTCTCTGGTAAGAAAAATACTTAGAATATCAATTATGGGTTAAATACTAGCCAGTAAGAAACAAGCAAATGGCCAACAGCTTCATAATTAATATAGTGTCTTGTGTGTTACTTGAGGGCTGAAACTGTACAAGGGCCCAGGCGGATGCAGAAGGCAACAAGTTACATAATGGTACCAGAAGTGGGTAACAGAACCCAGGCAGGAATCCCACCACAGGTGATTGTGTCAGGGATTTGTGTGAGGTTGACTAAATCA